GTTTGTCTCACCTGGGGGGGGGGAAATATTTGCAGCAGCACCATCAGCCCCCGCCCAGGTGGGCGGTGGAGCCAGGAGGTGAAATTTCTAATTTCTTTGTTCTTTTTTGGGGTTTTGGGGAAGGGGGGGGGGGGGGGGGGCAGGAGCTGGAAGGGGGTTAACTTGGGGGTATTGGGGACTGGCGTGGCTGGTGGGGTCAGGAGTTACATGTATGATGCTGTGGAGGACTTGGTGCGGGGGGAGAATATGAACGGTGCCACGTTCAACTGAGTTGGGTCGTTAACATAGGATGGGTTTTGCTTTTCCCCTGATTTTCAGACTCCTGACGCAGTAGATATGTCCTCGATTGAGTATCCGCTAGTTCTGCCTTGACAAGTCGTCATTCCATCGATGAGCTGAGCAATGAGGGGGCTAGGTGTGATTGAAAGTCCGATTCATTCGCAACATGAACCTACCAGAGTCCGATACGGTCAATGTCCCCTTCCACCTTGTCAGGCCTCCCACGTCAAGACTTGATCATTCTCCGTTCATAAACTCATAATTGACTAATCCCCACCCCATCAGGCTGGTCCGACGACTGCATATTTATACCTTCCTAGGTTTCCTAGAATCCTACAGAATTCTTATCTCAGGACATCATTGTCGTTTCTCGGACTGCGGTGTTTCACATCATTCTCCGCGGCGCCGTGCGGACAGGCGTTGCTTGTCCGCGGCACTCAGCAAATAAATCCACTGGCTCTCCTCATGCGTGATTTGCGGGCAGTTCGAGAAGGGATTGTGGAGATTGACCAAACGGGGCGCACAGGTGGAATGCCACGGACTAGAGCTCAGCTCGTTCTCCATTTTCCTCAAGTCGTCTGTAAGCACCGGGAGAGGATTAGAGAGATACCAGTGCCATATTGCGCCGCGACTATCCGTCTCCATGGGGTTCCCCAAGTGCAAGAAGATGGTAGACCGAACGCGTTTATCGCAATACCTTCTTTCCTGCCCGCCATCGTCCCAGGGTGCCTGGCAGCGGGTCGTTGGGATGCTGCGTTTCTCCGCGTTGTCAATTTGCCAGAGTACGCGCGACCAGAAGTCGAGCCCGTTGTCGATAAGCCGGCCGCGAGTGTTGATGATGTTTCCTACACGCCGAAATCAGTTTAGTCTTGCTCCCAACAACAAGGACGCTCCTAGTATCACAGCATTTCAGTTTCAGAAGAACGACTCGCTGAAAAAGCCATCCGGCCCCAACGGCACGCCCTGCTCAAACAAATTCTTGCGTATTTCCTCCACCGTCTCGATGCCATTATCGCCGTGCAACGGCCAATACATGACAAAAGCCATCCCCAGCTCCGTCAGCTCCCTCTCCCAACCCAACTCCCACGCCACATCCATAAGCCGCAACACATCCATCAGCGGAAGCTGACCCGGCTTCACCTCCTTCCACACCACCCCCAACTCCTGGCCCACCCCGAACCACTCCTGCAGCGCCTTCAGCATCCCATACTTGATCCCCTGCACCACCACCTCATACACCAACCCCACCCCCATCGGCACCGCCACCAGGTCCCACGGCCCGTGCGCCAGGGCCAGCAGCACCCGGAACACGTCCACCTTCTCCTAGGGTAAACAGACCACACGGCACCCCTCCTCGTCTCGTTCCTCCTCTTCCCCGCCATCATCACCATCACCATCACCATCACCACCCTCCTGTCCCTCCCCATCCGCCTCCGCCTCCGCCTCCCCCCTCCGCCAAGCAGCACGGTACGCGTGCTGCTCCAAAACGCGGTCCCCCCCGGAGCCGACGCGGCGGAGCGTGTGGGAGCACACTTTGAAATCGCGCTGCTCCTGGGTGGCGGCGGGGGCGGCGTGACCCCCGACGCGCAGCACGATGTCGCCGAAGTCGTCGAGGATTTCTTTGGGGGGGGAAGGTCGATGGCGGCGGCGTTGGGGGATGCGTGGGGGGCGGAGGTTGAAGTTCGGGTTGGGAATGAAGGGGCTGCGGTTCAAGCTTGGTCTGGGGTTGGGGTTGGGGTTGAAGCCTGGTCCAGGGTTGGGGCTGGGGATGAAGCTCGGGTCGGGATGGGTGTTGAAGCCTAGGTCGGGGTTGACGTTGGTTTTGGTGGTGATGTTGGCTTTCGCGACCGCGTCGGCGTCCATGGCTGACAGGAGGTCGGCGATGGAGGGGTATTCGGGGGGCTGTTCTTCGGCCATGGTGTTTGCGAGTTGGGTGAGCTTGGCTATGGTGGCGGGATGGTTGTTCTCAGGTTCTGGAAGTTGGATATGTCGCTGTTGTGCTTATTGGATGGTTGTGTTGAAATAAACTGCTTAGGTAGTTAGGTTGTGGAACTTGGGCAGTTAGTGGTAGATGGACGCTTGTTTCGATTGTTCGATATTGGAATAAGAATGAGCTTGCTCGCCTGTGGTGGTTAGATGGTTAGTGGTAATCGGATGGCTGTGATTATTTGAATAATGATGAACTTGAGAATGGGATTGGGAATCCGGAAAGGTCCAAGCGAGGAGAGAAGGGCTATGCCATTTACAGAGCCCTTCAATCTTTGGCGGGACCTTCCTAACTGGAATTCGGGTAGGAGAGGGGAGGTGCGCCATTCATGAGAGACTTCAACCCCGGATCGTCCCTACCTACCTACCTAGGTACCTATCGCACCCTTTTCGTCTGATGCCTCTCATTCGACTCCGACCCGTTA